AGTACAGTCCCTGTGTCTTTATCTATTTGTCCTCCGGCTCTTGACTCCACAGCCAATGCTACTTATAAATGGAGCTTTATTGCAATTATCCCACATCCCCAATGAACCAGATTGCGGTAATGAAAGTGACTTCTCCAGAACCTTCTGTCACTGCGATTAGTTCCTTCTCCTCTGAGAACAGTGTCACTACAGAATCTGGCTAACGATTTCAATTTTCTACCCCCGTCCCTCCCCCTCAGCCACCCACACCCCCACCTCAAAGACTTTGGATCCTAGTCTTGGATCATCCTATAGTGCGATGCCATGGGAATGCTACGTTCACTAATTGCTTAGACGCTCAACAGCCTGGTGATTTATGCATCCTTGCAGATGCTGGCTCTGTTGTGGTTTGAGAGATACCCCCTCTACTGTTGCTTTCCTGCCTGTTGTTTACATCTCTCATTTACAATGAGCTTAATACACATCGTAGGCTCACAGCTGCTCTGTCTTTGTGTAACAAGTCTTCTGTCCTGAAACTCATCATTGGGTTGCACAGTTCAGTAGAAAATGATTTACATTCATACAGAAACTAACACCCCCCACCCCACCCCCAAAAAGCTTGGCACATGCTTTACATCCAATTAATTGCTTCAGTACGGTCAGACACACAGAAGCCAATTTGCACACTGCTGAGTTCCACAAGAAAGAACTTCAAACAATAAATAGTTAATCAACATTTTAGCAGTGCTTGTTGCAGGGAAAATGTTGGTCGCAATGTGAGGAGTTTCTCATTCAGCGTCTTCAAACAAAGACATGCAGGCCACCTGTGGGCGAAATAACCACAAAGACCAAATCACCCATTATTTACGCATGCATAGTTCACAACACTGATCCAACTTCCTCGGAGTGAACAGAATGTCTGACCTAGCTGTTTATATCTGTCAGCCGGGGCTCTCTGATTGGGACTGTTCACCTGGTCCAACCAGGGAACTCATTCTATGAAGGTCCACCTGGCTGACCTTGTTACAATCACTACAGTGGCCTCTGAGTAATGAGCATGCAGTCATTCAGGTGCTAGTTCACAGACTCTCGTGTTTCACGACAGAAGTTAAAGCTGACCCCGAGTGTTGCATCAAGGGAGGCATTGGGCTGAGGGAGACGCTGCTGCTCAAGCGGGATGTTAAAAAAATGAAACAATGCCTTATAGTCAAGACAACAGATCCTGAAGTATTATTTGCAGATGAGAACCAGATTTAGCTGCAGTGTCCTGCTCCATATTTATTCCCTGATTTTTGTCACAGTATCCTAGCTGGGAACAAATTGACCGTCTCACTTTTAGCATGGCAATACATCCAAGTACTCAAAACAAAAAAATGCTGTGAGATGGGCTGAGGCTGTGACAGGTACTACATTAGAATGGCGACTAATGATCCTTTGGATATGGATGCTCATGGAATGATAAGTGAGGACTGGGGCACTCTAATTGGTGTCATGGGAGCGAAGAGAAGGGGTAGGACAGAAGTGTGGGAAATGGATCAGACACAGCTGAGGATCCTGTCAACCACAGTCCACAGTTCTCGTCTATTTTCTGCCCTTAGCTGTGTCAGAGAAGAATTCTTATGGTGCAAACGTGAGGTGTGTCAGATCAGCCATGATCCCATTGAATGGCAGTGCAGGCTCAAATGCTGAACAGCAATCTCTTGTTCCCGTTTCTTATGGTCTTACGGTCAGAAGGAGACCTTTTGACCCATAATGTCTACACTGGCTGTCTGAACACTTTTACGTAATTCTAAACCGGAATTACCTGGAATTAAGAGTCTAATGATGGCCATGAATCCATTGTTAATTGTCAGAAATGCCCATCTGGTTCACTAATGTCCATTAGAGAAGGAAACTGCCATCGATACCTGGTCTGGCCTACATGTGACTCCAAACCCACAGCAATGTGGGTGAGTCTTAACCATGCTCTGTGCAACTAGGGATGGGTGATAAATGATGATCAGCGATGCCCTAATCCCCTGAATGAATAAAATAAAAGTCTCCTGCCTTTGCCCCTAACCCTGTACGTTATTTACATAGAAACAACAATTGAATGCTCTCTTGAATGCTTCAAATTGAACCTGTCTTCATCACACTTCCAAATAGTGTAGTCCATAGCCCAGCTACTCACTGTGTAAAAATGATGTTGCTTGACTCACATTTGCTTCTTTTGGAGATCAATTTAAAACTGTCTTTTGGTTCTCAATCTGTTCATGAATGGGAACAGTTACTCCTTACTCTTTCTCTCCAGATCCCTCACTCTTTTGAAAACTAACTTAGCCTTTTAACCTTCTCCTCCCCTAGAAGGACAATGCAAATTTTTCCAACCTTTCCTTCGGAACTGTAAATGTTGCGTCATGAGATCCATTCACAAAAACCCCTTCAGTACTCTATCCAAAACTATTCATATCCTTCTTATAATCTGGTGCCTGGAACTGTATGCAACACTCCAGCTGACATTTAAATAGTATCTTACAAGTTCTTCAGAAACTCCCGGCTCTTGTGCCGATTAGCCTGTTTATGTAATCTAGATTGTTTTATTTATTCACTCATAGGCATTACTAGCTGAGCCAGCATTTATTGCCCATCTCTAGCTGCCCTTAAGAAGATGGTGGTGGTGGTGAGCTGCCTTCTTGAACTGCTACTATCCATGTGCTGTGCATTGACCCACAATGCCCTTAGGAAGGGAACTCCAGGATTTTGAATGAGCGACAGTGAGGGAACAGCGATATATTTCCAAGTCAGGATGGTGAGGGGCTTGTAAAGGCACTTAAAAATGTAGTAGTGTTCCCCTATACCTGCTGCCCTTGTCCTTCTAGGTGGAATTGGTTGTGGGTTTGGAAGGTGCTGTCTGAAGATCTTCAGTGAATTTCTGCTGTATTACTTATAGATGGTACACACTGCTGCTACTGAGCATTAGTGGTGGAGGGAGTGGATAGCTGTGGACATAGTGCCAGTCAAGCGGCTGCTTTGTCCAAGATGATGTCAAGCTTCTTGAGTGTTGTTGGAGTTGCCCCTATCCAGGCAAGTGGGGAGTGTTCATCACATTCCTGACTTGTGCCTTTCTGTATGTTGAGTAGGCTTTAGGGAAGTCAGTAGGGGAGTTACTTGTTGCAGTTGTCCTAGCCTTTGATCTGCTCTTGTAGTCACTGTGTATATGTGCCAAATCCATTGATTTTCTGCTCAATGATGACCTCCAGGAGTGGGGTATTCAGTTATACCACTGAATGTCAAAGGGAAGTTGTCTCTTAGTGGAGATGGTCGTTACCTGGCACTTGTGGAACAAATTTTTCTTGTCATTTTTCAGTCCAAGCTTGGATATTGTCCAACTATTGCTGCACGGATATGGATTGCTTCAGTACCTGAGGATTTGTGCATGGTTCTGAACATTGCATAACCATCCCCACTGCTGACCTTATAATATAGAGGGAAGGTCTTTGATGAAGTAGCTGAAGATAATTTGGCCAAGGGCACTAATCTGAGAAACTCCTGCAGAGATGACCTGGAGCGGAGATGATTGACCTTCAGTGGAGCACAAGTGTCTTCCTTTTCACCAAGTATAATCCAAACCTACAGAGAATTTTCCCCCAAATCCCATCAATTCCAGCTTTCTCAGGGCTCTTTGATGGCACACTCGGTCAAATGCAGCCTTGATATCAAGGTCTGTCACTCTCCCCTCACCTCTGGAATTCAGCTCGTGCCCATGTTTGAACCAAGGCTGTAATGAGGTCAGGAGCTGAGTGGTCCTGGCGGAACCCAAACTGGGCGTCGCTAAGCAAGTGCTGCTTGATAGCACAGTTAATTACACCTTCCATCACTTTACTGATGATTGATACTTTCCAATTTTCCACTTTTCAGGTTATAACCATATTGGAATATTATGGTTATTATATTGGAATAAGCTATAGATGAAGCAATTTCTGGAGCACAGGACTTCAGTGCTATTGCTGAAATTTTGTCAAGGCCTTTGTAGTGTTCAGTGCCTCTAACCATTTGTTGATATCATGTGGAGTGAATCAAATTGGCTGAAGTCTAGTATCTGTGATGTTGGGGATGTTTGGAAGAGGCCAACATGTCAAGAGGCCATCATTTACTCAACACTTCTGGCTGATGATTGCTGCAAATGCTTCAGCATTACTTTTTGCACTGATGTCTGGGGCTTTTCCACCATTGATTTCTTCTGGATTAGTGATTGAATTCCTCTGCCTTGACTTAAAATTTTCAATTGCTTTGTGAGACAAGAATCTCACTGCTGTAGTAGGAATGCACTTTGATGTAATAATTTCAATTTAATCTTTCTAGTCTCAGTCAGATACATCACTGTGGGATATGAAAGGTAAACTTGCAGCTAATAACAGTAAAAGCTCTTGTATAGTTTATTACATCAGTCAATCCAAGAGAGATTAAGATGGACCTGACAGTAGAGGAAGTTGCTAAAAAAGATGTGAAGGCATTTTTTTTGGGGGGGGGGGGGGGGAGCAGGAGAAAACTATTTAACAAACAGTTGGGATAACACCTCAGGAGAATTGCATTGCATGTTAAAAAAAAACATTTTCGCATGGAAATAGTAAAATGAAGGAGAAAGGAGGACACTTGAGGACAGAACAACAGCTGATGTAGCTCTGATATTCAGAGAAAAAAAAAACAACAAATCCAAGGAAATATTTAAGGAAGTAATTAGCCATAGGCAATGATACATGATGGGTATCTATGTCCACTGAAGAGAGATGATTGATTGATTGATTGAGATTGGTTTCAATATAGATTGAGAGCTAACCTGCAAAACAAAAACCAGCCTAATGTTGGTGGCTCATCAGATATCAGAATGTCACCAAAAAGTCAGGGGAAAGATTTAAAAATCAGTGACTTTAGAAGTTTTCAGCATGGATTTCAAAAAAAGGCAGCTCTACATAACAAAACTATCTGAACAAGACAAGGATAACTCATCAGGAATAGGCACAGACTTTCACAAGGCTTCTAATAAGAAGATATAGTACAGCATGGTCAGATGGATTTTTATTTGCCTTGTGGTGGGGTGGTCTTTAGTACATGTGAGGGAGTAAAAGGTACCTTTTACAGGCAGTCCCAGGGTTGAGAACAGGCTCTGCTCTGGAGTCCATTCGCAAGTCAGCTTGTTTGCAAGGGAGAACACAATGCACGAGAGAACACAATGCACAACAATGGAAGGAAACAATTCACAACTACAGGAAAGGTTCATATATGGGGTCTTTAAATTTTAAAACCATGTACGGAGATCGCAGTCATAAGTATGAGTGTTTGTAAGTTGGACATTAGTAAATCAGGGACCTCCTGTTAACAGGGTAAGGTATTTAAATACGTTGAGTATATTAACACAATTTAATGCAGCAATCAGTGAACAAGTTTGCCATGCTGTATGCAGCTCATCAGGGTGCAGAGAACAGCCAAGAGTCATAAAGTATTGAAACTGATGTGTGGGAGAGGGTTTAAATAGGAAAACACATTTGCTGTTGCCATGTTTATGGGAATAGCTTGTATTCATAGCACTTGTCTTTGAAACATAGCGATCTTTGATTCACATGGATCAGCACTTCCACGCTTCCACAGCATGTGCAGAGTTATCTTAAACCTTTACTGAGAAACACCAGTATAAATGACATTAACACCAAGAGCAGTAACCCAGCTGTCTTCTCAACTGCATGGTGCTTGACAAAGCAGAACAGTCCCTTTCAAAAGGAGGCAAGATCCCAAGTCAGGGATTACAACAGAGGATTTGCGCTCAACCCAACACGTCTGTGTACCAGTGCTTCAAGGCTCGTATGGAACGTCACTGCTGACATCTGCAGCTTCCTGGAATGAGACCTTCTGCCAACAGTCAGTAAGTTGCTTATCCCCTGCCCCATTTCAGATCACTGTCTGGAGGTTCTGTGCCTCCTCATCCTGCAAGAAGCAAAAACAGAGTCACAGTGTTGTACAGCATGAAAACAGACCCTTCAGTCCAACTCATCAATGCCAGCCAGATATCCCAAATTAATCTAGTGCCATTACTGTGGTCATGGTGAGGGCTTGTGTGTGCGAGAAATCCATTGAGCAGCGGGGTGTAATGGCCATATACATGGAGGGTGACTGAGGCCTGGGTGTGAGAGCAATAGGATTGATGTGAGTGCTGGTTGGTAAGAGATGGATGCAAGGTGACTGGGCAGAGGAGACAGTTCAGACGCAATTCTTGTTCTGCGCTGTGATGAACTATTGCAAAAATAAGCATGTACAGTTTGACACCTGAAATTACTATATCACTTTCCTTTCCGAAGTCATAAAACCTGAAGGGGTTCAGAAAAGATTTAATAATGTTGCCAGGATTGAGGGGTTGGGGGTTTGAGCTATAGGGTGAAGCTGAGATATTTTCCCTGAAGTATAGGAGGCGGAGGGGTGACCTATTGGAGGTTAATAAAATCATGAGGGGCATGGATAAGGTGAGTAGCCAATGTCTTTTCCCCAGGGCAGGGGAGCCCAAAACTACAGGGCATAAATTTAAGGTGAGAGGGGAGAAAGGTTTAAAAAAAGAAAGGGACCCAAGGGGCAACTTTTTCACTCAAAGGGTGGTGCGTGTACAGGAGAAGTTGTGGAGGCTGGTACTATTACAAAATTTAAAAGGCATTGGACAGGTATGTGAATAGGAAGGGTTTAGAGGCTTATGGGCTAAATGGGACAAGATTAATTTAGGATATCTGGTCAGCACGGACAAGCTGGACCGTAGAGTCTGTTTCCATGCTGTACATCTCCATGACTATGATTCTATGCGGGTACCCATAGCTGCTCATTTTACTTGGAGAATGAACAATTTAAAAAGGGAAAATTGTTCAAAGTGAAAAGGAGCTCAGTTGGGGGTGGGGTGGTGGTGGGGGTTGCGGGGGGCGGTGGGGGTGTCGATGGGTGTGGGTGTATGAGAAATAGATGGGAACTGTTCAGGCCTCCTACCCAGGAAGGAGCAGAGAAAACTCAAAACATCCTGATGGGAAATGGGTGTCCAGATCTCCAAAAGGCATAATCTCTTTAAGATGGCATTCTGACCTGCAACACATTAGTCTCAGAGGTCTCCATCTTGTTCTCTGCAAATTCTGTTGGAGGGCAGCAATTCTGCCAATAGCCAGTCAGTTTGATAGTCAGCCAGTTGTTTCTATGATATAATTGTTATCTCAGTAAGCATTAAAAAAAGTGAAAAAATGTGAAATGTGAAATGTGAAATGCCATTTAAGTGTTAAAGACCCAAACTGTATTTGTAAATATGAAGTGTCATATGATTGTACATAGCATGTTATTAATAAATTCAAACCTGACTCTCTCTCATATGTCAGATGATCTAATATACACAGCAAGTTCAGGATTTTAAATGACCATAGGGATGGGTCTGCTGCCCAAGTAATAAGTGGGTTAGCGAACAGAAGGGGAAGTAAACAGCATTTTGACCTGAATCAACATCCATTGCCATGGCTGCTAGCGATGCAGTTTAAAAAATTTTCAAATTTCAAAAATGGGCTGGGCTAACGGAAAATTGGGGACCAAGCATAAGGGGAGGAAAATGGCTAATTAGAAAGCAATGAATTACTGGTCAGTGTTTTGTCTTAACTTTTTTTTGCATCAAATAAAATGGTTCCACTGCTGCTACCCTATTCCTGCAAAGTTGGTTTCAGAGAAATCCGAACAGCTGGGCATCCCTCTGAAAAAGGAGGTCAGCAGGTGAGTTTGTAATGAACTCCCTAATGAGCTGAATCCTCCCAATTAAAATGGCAGGCATTTTCCTGCTCACCCCAAAAACGAACAGCAGAGTTGGTAACAGATGTGGCAGACAGGCTGCTAGGAATGATTTCTTTGCAACCCACTTCTGCCCCCTCCCACTTCATTCTGGAAAAGATCCCACCCTAGATTTTTCCTTTCTTCAGCTTTGCCCTTACTATTGCTCCACATCAAGCAGGTATGTGACAGAGATAGTAGGAACTGCAGATGCTGGAGAATCTTAGATAACAAGGTGTAGAGCTTCATGAACACAGCAGGCCAAGCAGCATCATAGGAGCAGGAAGGCTGACGTTTTGGGCCTAGACCCTTCATCAGAAATGGGGGAGGGGAAGGGGGTTCTGAAATAAATAGGGAGAGGGGGGAGGCAGATAGAAGATGGATAGAGGAGAAGATAAGTGGAGAGGAAACAGACAGTTCAAAGAGGTGGGGATGGAGCCAGTAAAGGTGAGTGTAGATGGGGAGGTAGGGAGGAGATAGGTCAGTCCAGGAGGACGGACAGGTCAAGGGGGCGGGATGAGGTTAGTAGGTAGGAAATGGGGGTGTGGCTTGAAGTGGGAGGAGGGGATAGGTGGGAGGAAGAACAGGTTAGGGAGGCAGGGACGAGCTGGGCTGGTTTTGGGATACGGTAGGGGGAGGGGAGATTTTGAATCTTGTGAAATCCACATTGACACCATTGGGCTGCAGGGCTCCCAAGCGGAATAGGAGTTGCTGTTCCTGCAACCTTCGGGTGGCATCGTTGTGGCACTGCAGGAGGCCCAGGATGGACATGTCGTCTGAGGAATGGGAGGGGGAGTTGAAATGGTTCGCGACTGGGAGGTGCAGTTGTTTATTGCGAACCGAGTGTAGGTGTTCTGCAAAGCGGTCACCAAGCCTCCGCTTGGTTTCCCCGATGTAGGGGAGGCCACAACGGGTACAGCGGATGCAGTATACCACATTAGCAGATGTGCAGGTGAACATCTGCTTGATGTGGAAAGTCTTCTTGGGGCCTGGGATGGGGGTGAGGAAGGAGGTGTGGGGGCAGGTGTAGCACTTCCTGCGGTTGCAGGGAAAAGTGCTGGGTGTGGTGGGGCTGGAGGGGAGTGTGGAGCGGACAAGGGAGTCACGGAGAGAGTTGTCCCTCCGGAAAGCAGATAAGGGCGGGGAGGGAAAAACGTCTTTGGTGGTGGTGTGGCGCACTGTCCTTTTACAGGTGAGCTTTAGGTGTTTTTTTTCCTCATCAAGTGAAAGACATCTGGGAAGGTTCTAGATTAAGACTCCAGTCAACCTTTAAAATAGGTGCACCTTCTGCACCGATTAGAAGCCAAACCAGTGTGAGCATGTGATGTCCACATCTGCTAACATGTTACCATTCCCTTCTTTGTGACTAGGAAGAATTTGTCTAACATGATTGAGGTAATCCACTCAGTCATCTAACAAGACCAAGCTAGTGTCTTAAGCAAGATGTAATTTGTTGCATGATAAGAATCAGGTACAAAATTAGTAAGATAAATGTTCTCACTAAGACCATGAGGAGACCAGATGATCCATCTGTCTCTTTCAAAATCCAGAGCTGTTCTGCTGTTCCCCATCTGAGTCCTTATGACATGAGCAAATTGCATGGAGTTGAATGTAATCTTCAAACACTAACCCTTTCAGAATCATTCCATTATACAATGACCACAAAACTCTGCCTTATGTATGAATATTCTGACTGTGTTTGGTGTGTTTTTGACTGTTGAAGACTGGAAGATTGTTCACTAAATTTTCACTTTAATTATTTGCAGAATATGGTTGAGGAGGATCAGTTAGAAACTCCATTCCTAAGGTCCCATAGTTGTGGTGGAACCCAACATCTTCAGAGACACTGATAATACTATCTATTAGCAGAACATGTATTAACTTTTCCTGCTACACTTGAAATTAAAACCTAACAGTTAAGAACAGGTTGTTGACTTCACAAAGCACTAATATTTTCATCTCAAGTTGTGCCACTGTGAATGATTGAAACCGATATGGAGATCATTCTATTGAATGCAAGGAAAGATAACATTGGCATTGACCTAAATTTGCAACTTCACATGATTTGGTTCCATCTCCCCTCCCAACAGGGACATCAAACAAAAAAAGGCCTCCTTTAAAGACAGCAGCATGACTGAAATCTCAGCTACAGTAAAAACTTATGAATCAGTGTGGAACGTAGATGTCCTGAAAAGAACCGTTACTAATTAAATCTAAAGACTGACAGAACTCCACCCAGCCTGACTGAATTATTAAACTCTACAATACTTGCAACCAATGACACCATACAATTAGTCATGAGAATTCATTATCTACAAGCATAAAGAGATTGATGTTAAAGATATCATCCAATTCCTTCTACTACTTGTCATGTTATATCTTTGTGGCCTTTAAATCCAACACCTCAACCCTGGCTCAAAATTAACCCCACCAACTTTTTTGCAACTTCTCAGCTGGACCACCAGGTGGAGCATTCATGGAGGCGGAAGAGTGAGGACATCTCAAATCCTCCACTTGTAAAGAAACGTGGAGAAACCCTGCCAGGGAAATGATGGCTGACTCGTGTGAGAAAAAACAACTGAGAGGTTTTTGGCTTTCTTCACAGAACTACCACACGGCCACTGTTCAAACAGAGCACTCCTGTAACAGACACAGAGTGCTGGAGAGTCTCAGCAGGTCTGTGCAGAGAAAAACAGAGTTAATGCTTAGAGTCTGATATCACTTATTCTGAAGAAGAGTCATACCAGATTTGAAATGTTAACTGAGTTTCTCTCTACAGATGCTGCAGACCTGCTGGGATTCTCCAGCATCTTGTTTGGTTCAGACTTCCAACATCTACAGTATTTTGCCTTTATACAACCATTGTAACACACTATTTAGTTCATTTCCTTAGTAAATTCATGATTACATTCAATGTGATATAGGTATAAAAAAATCAAAACACCAAACATTGTACAAATGCCCCATTGTGTGATAATTCTCAAAAAAATAGTCACTGGAGGAGCAGTACGTGATTTCTTTGTGTTGCACTGGTATCAACTTATTGTCATACCCCTTGGTAGAAGTATAATGTAGCTGAGGTTGTGAAAAGTAATGAGATAGCAGTTTATGTATAATAGACTATGCACACCTCAGGCCAAAATTCTCAA